TATCTTATTCGATTGCTTTTGGTTTTAACTGTACATTCTTTGCATCCTAATTTACATTATCGTGCATATTACATTTGAATCTTCTCTTGGAATTCATAATACAATAGTAACCTATTCAATGTTTACCTGACTCATCGTTAAAATCATATTAGGGCCGTATTTTCCTCTCATAACCTTTTCAATTGTACCTATCACATTTACCTGAAATGCAGTCATTTGCTGTAAAGTTTTTCATACTAGTTTCTAATTCTATCTCTATCTATCTTAAATTGTTCTTCTCTTTCTCGTTTATTTAAATACATGTCTAAAATTTTCTAACGAAAGTTCATCAATATACATCAGTAAGCACGGTTCTCAATAATACGCATTTAGTTATTTAAGTTACAATAGTTGTACATATTTTTTAATTGTGAATAGTCTCGATCCTTTAATAATAAATCTAGTAAAAAAAAAGGAAAAATGATCAACTAGCTGTACAACATTAAGTTGGCGTACAGCAGAAGCTTGTATAAGTTAAACACCGACTATCCTGCTTCAACAATCACAATTCCATCTTACGTGAGATAGCACGTGATATTGGAGATATGAATTTCTCCAATGTGTCCAGTCGTTCGATTTTGATAGATAATTCGGGCTTGAGAGCTGTTGTATCCATGGGCGTACCCGGAGGAGGGGGTAAATGGGATATTTTCTATACAATAATTAAAGATAATGTGCATTTATTTAAATTACAAAAAATACCGTTTTTACGGTTAAATACAAGGCAGTAGCTTTCTACAGATTTTTCTATACAATAATTAAACATAATGTGCATTTATTTAAATTACAAAAAATACCGTTTTTACGGTTAAATACAAGGCAGTAGCTTTCTACAGATTTTTACCAGGACAATTTTTGCGTACCAAATTAAATAATTAAAAATTGGTTTAAATACCAAGAGATTGGTGCATTTTTACGTTTACCATCACTGGTTTAGGGGGAGGGTAACTGCCTCTCTCAGTATATCCATGACTGAGTCAATATCTATACAATTTTGTATACAAATTATAAACCAGTAGTAACAATTTTGTTTAATTTTTAAAGCTTCTTCATTTAATATTAAAATACTGATGTGTTTACTTTCACAGGGTTTACTAACTAAATACACGAATAATAATAACAATGGTTAAAAAATTTGTTGGGGTGCAAACGTACCATAGTATTAAAGGGCATTATTAACACGGGGTTCAATCACGCCAGAAAATTTTTAGAATAATTAGCAAGGAGTGCAATCATAATCTACCAATTAAATGTATTTATAATTTTTGATAGCGAAAGTAATTTCCGAAAATGTTTTTGAAGCCTGCAAGCGTCTTAGGGTTAGAAATAAAAATCCAATCCAATCGAAGCCCTGCGCACGGGTTACATTTAATCATTTTCAACTAGTTCTTTCAGAATACCATTTAATATATTTAAATTACATATTTCCAAAAAAAAAAGGAATGATATCTTATGAATATAATGCTTATGATTACTCAGGAAAATAATTGTACACGTAAGATAATGATAAATCAAGGCTAGGATATAGGTCAATTATTTATTATTCTGGCGCAGTGCAAAATTACGAAACGAATTAGCAGTCTGTTTATGTCGTTGTCAGTATATGTATAATAATTTTATTTAGTTTGTTTCCTACTGTTGTAACACTCTATTCCTTATATGGAAATTAGTGGTAGTTATATATGAAATCCTATATTTAATATATATAATTAAGTTAATAAAAATCGACGGATCGTTAACCTTGTAGGTCGGTTTGGCGTGGTTGCTGTTGTCACTTCTCGTAGTTTAGTGGTCAGAACATTAGTGCGTAAAGCCAAAGGTCCCGGGTTCGATTCCCGGCGGGGGTGTGACAACAGCAACAATTTTTCCCTCATTAATTTGAGGTAGCGTGTAGTGGGTAAAAAATTCAGAAATGAATTTTCAGAATAATATTTCATATTAAACTAACTCACTTCTAAAAGATATCTAAATTATATGTATGTTTAATCATAGTATATTCAGTATATAGTTACATTAGTTCGACGGATCGTTAACCTTGTAGGTCGGTTGGTCGTGGTTGTTGTTGTCACCTCTCGTAGTTTAGTGGTCAGAACATTGGTGCGTAANTTTTTTATATAGTTTATTTGCAAATTTTATTCCCTGGGTCAACACTGATTTTAATTTTGGTAGAAGAGTGGTTGTTACAAGACCAACTCTGGCACATCCTTGGGATTCATCGTTAGTCCAAGGTTGTATGCCAAGTCAGTCTGATATTATTACTCGGTAGTTCAACCATATCTGGCCCAGAGTTGTAATTCAACTTTGTCCCAGAGCTCATGTTTGGTCCACACCTAACCCAATCGTACTTTCCTACATGGAATATTTCACTTAAATCTGCTTTGATTTGTGTTGAAGTCCAGATGACATAAAAGCTTTTGGGTGTTTCATTCCCACCAGCCAATAATGGTGGTCGGCAGGCAGTCCCTCCGGACCACGCCGGAAGGTAGGGCGAAAGGCCCTCTTCAGCCTCCGTTCGGGAATCGTAGGAATGGGTGGGTGGTGGTTCGGGTGAGAAAGATGAGACGGACGAAATGAAGACAGAAGAGAGTGAAATATTACTGCCTCAGCATTTGCCTAAGTGATCCAAGGAAACCACAGAAAAACTTGGAGCAAGGCAGATGGACCCGGAGTCTAATCGGCGTCCTCCTGAATGCTAAGCAATGGTCTAAACCTCTAGACCATGCCACCCGGTACTGATTTATACAAAACACTTTAGTATTCTTCACATTTTGTCCTTCCAAATATGCTGGATTCCTGAGCAGGTACCTGCTCGAAGTTTATTTGTTTGTTTACAAACGAGAAAAATATATTATTTGCATTATTACAATTTAAATATTTTGAACCCTAGACAAAAATTTTCAGTCTCTCAGAGTCTTTCAGCGTCTCTGAGAGCGTCTTTCACAGTCTCATTCAGAAATTCGAGTATCTCGTTCAGAAACTGGATACGAAATGAGGATCTCTCTATGAACGACTCGAGTCTCTACGCTACGAGATACGCTAAACAGTTTTTTTGACAGTCTCTCTCAGCGACACCAGAGAGACTAGATGAGAGACGGAGATTCGAGTCTCGCTTTCGGAGACTCTATGAGACTGAACATTTTTATCTCGGGAACTTTCTGCTTTACTCGAAATTTTAAAGAGATATTGAGCACTTCAAAACAGAAGGTTTGTATGAAGTTATTTCTAAATGACGACCATTAACTTTATACTTGAATTACGTGAGTTATGATTAAAGCTTTTTTTAAAGTAATTTTTCCAAGTGAATGTCATTGGTTTTTACTTAATTTACTTTTTTATAGAGTGGCTGCTTTATTTTACTACCTTTGGAAACATGGCATGTAGAACATTTTAGACGATAAAAAAGTTTTCCAATACTTTCGTGCTGTAGTAGATGTTATATACCGATGTGAAGTATAATGGAAGGTCAAACTTTTTGTAGTTTTCTAATACAGAAATAAATGTGCGGACATGCAACGCTATTATTTCTTAATTTTGTTGGAAATTGCTCCTTCAATATTGAGAAATATTAGCTATATTACATTATCGCATGTGATGGATCATTAGTCTAGCCCGTTTGGACTTAAGTGAAAACAATGGTAATAAAAGTCTCGAAAGTCAATACAGGCATAATGAAATAAAAGTACACATAATATTCATATTAAGTATGATTCATAACTATTGTCGATGCAAAACGATGAATATACATTTTGAAATTTAAGTTGGCAGCCTTACCGGTACAGCTACACTGCGTTTGACGTTAGACTTTACTGTTTTTTGCAAGAAGACTTGAAATAGATGACACAATTGGAGGGGGGTGTAACCTAGACGTATGCGCAGAACTTTCAACTTGAGTAGAGGGGGGTGAACCCGATGTATGCGCAGAACTCTAAAAAGTTTTTGTGCGCGCATATGACAATTTGAGTGCGATACGTTCACGTAAATGGGACACTTGGACATAAACCGAAACATAACCCAGAATGCTCACCAGTGCGATGACACGTCATGAATCAACGTCATATTGTACTGATGAGACAAGTGTGAGGTAGTAGTAGGTATATCACGAATTTTTTATTGTAAGAAACTTTAATGGAACAAAATTTCCGAACGAATAAACAGTATGGCGTCGATTTCTGACG